AGAAAAAAAAAAAAAAAAAAAACACATCTTAGTAAAACCAATACCTTCTCAGCTACGCATCGAAGCTAAAATATGGTGCTAGAAAATAGCTATCAAATAATGATCAACAAACAAATAAAAATTCATCTATTTTTTTTTTATCTAGTAACACTAAATAAAAACATAGAATAATGAAAAAATGAGTTATTAAAAAATAAATAAACCTAATCGTTTGATATTGGAATATTAAATAATTAATCAGAATAACTTAATTATTTAAAAACACAATTTTGTTGTTTAAACCTACTTTTATTCTTAAGAACAAACAATTTTGTTACTACGTTTGTTGACATCTTATAAATTTTATCTAAACTATTTAATAGAAAACAACGCCATAGAACAACGTTTGATTGCATAAATATCGTACGATCATTATAGTATAACACAAATAATATAAAAAGAATAGACGTGATTGCAAATTCATAACTGTTAATAATGTTTTGATCGCTTGATGAAGACATGATTATACTGTAATGTGTGAATAATTTTAAACTTTAAATATTATTTGGCGCAAAAAAAAAATATAAACAAGATAATTTATATAGAGGACGTTGAGATGATATTCTTTTTGGCTGTTAATAATAGTTTTTGTTAGCAAAAGAAAGGTTTAAAATAAACCTCAAGAATTTATTTTTGAAGTATTGTTTTGCCAATTACTGTTGGCGGAAATAATGGGAAGAGTAAAGGGGAGTTGTAAAAAATATAATAAAACAAAAGGACAATAATAATAATAATCGTTATAAAAATTACTCGAGTATACGGGAGCATAGGTAATAGGGATGAATTATCCATAGAAGGGTGACGGTAAATTGTTGGCTGGGAAGATTGTGGGATAAAGGGTTGCGTCTGCGTGCGATGGTAGCCGATCGTCCGTCGTTCCCAACTGTTCCAGTACATCCCTTTTCGTTGCCCTCCCTCCTCAGCAATGTTCCTCGATCATCCCCACGGGGTGGTAAAATGCGATGCAGCTCACTGATGAAATCACACCGCTCTTGGAGTCTGTGACGGAATGACTTTTGGTACGTGCACTGTATTATGTGACGATCCTCTTCCACGTTGATTCGACGACCGTAAGTACATATTTTTAAGCTCTAACATTTTATAGTGTAATTTTTAATTATTTATTTTTCCAATACATTCTAAGAAATGTATAAATACAATCAGTTCTGAAACATATCTACTATACTACGTATAATTTTAACATAGCAATCTATTGTATAAAACCTAATGTATAGTTTAGTTAAATACTACAATTTTATTGAGAGTAAGATAAAAAAAAATTCGAATATTATATTCAAAATTATTTTAAAAGCGTTATTGTTTAAGTAAGTAATAACAAAAGAAAATATACGTACTACAAAACATAAAATTGATTAATTGAACGGCTGACTGTGTAGGCAATTTCACTACATCTATGTTTTTTTTTAATCTTTATAAAACAAAATAATATCTAAAAAATAAAGTACTATTTCAGGAAAAACAATTTTAGAAATGGCCATTTAAAATTATCATTTGTGAAATTGAGGGAAATTTTCAATAAAAACTCAATATAATAAAAATTATTATGTTTTATATCTTAGAAGTTAATATGCAAATGTTTTAATATATTAAAACTTAAATGAGTTGTCTATTTTATTTAATTTGTAAAAAATTAAAATTTTAATAATCAAATTATTTAATAAATGCTATAAACAATTATTTTGAAGATTTAATTATTAAAATAACTGAATAAATTACTGAAAAATTAATTTTTACATTAAAATGTTGGAATTTAGAATAAATATTCATCTCTCAATGCTCTGAGTATTGAAAACCATATAATATAGCATGATCAATATACATTAATAATTTTTTTAAGTTAGATGAAGATTTAAAAAAGTATTTCCAGGATGCTCAAGAAAGCTTTCTACCTAAATTTTATTATTAATACTGTATTCTAAAAATTTTTAGTTTGTCAAAAAAGGCTAAATTTAAGTATAAAATGATATAGATGTAAGATAAAAATTAACATTTTTTATATTAATTGAACATAATTCCAATTAGACCACAATTTAATATAAATTTAACTATTACGAGTCACAAACAACATCCATAAAAGTTTTTAATTTAAAAAATCAAGCTAATAATTATTTCAACAGTTTGCTTACAAAATTTGTCTATTTTAAGTTTAATAATCAAAAATTTCATAACAATGCATCATTAAAGGCAAATAAATTATTTTAAATTAAATATTTCGAAAAATATATATTATAAAACGAAAACAGAAATTATAATTTCATTATGCTGTTTTAAAATGAATACACTTAAACATAAACTGATGTAGTTTGTATAAAAAAAAACATATTTTTTTGATATTGTTAAGAAACGCTTTGCGTTAAAAATTACGATAATATTTTAAAACATAAAGTTAGTTTTAAAGAAAGTTTATGTTTAAAATGTGTTATTATTAATTAACATAATTAAATATTCTAAAAAAAATATATGTATGTTGTTGTATAAAACAAAAAGAACAATTTTGCATAATGAAATTTTTTAAATCTTTATTTTATTATTCAAATTTTATTTAGGATCCAAATATTTAAGTTATAATAGTAAATTTTTGCAAGTGATACGTATACACTAATTCTAAGTAAAATAGTATTTTCGTTATTTTCAATAAATATTATGGTTATTGTAATTTGATGGTGTTCGGACATATGTCTTAATCTATTTTAAAATGATATGATTTCAGTTAACAATTAGTTTAAATTGATCTTTGAAATAATATCTACCTTCGGTCATCAACAAGGAGGTTGTTTTAGAACTAGCTAATTTTAGTCGAATTATCATATACCAAAGGAAGTGTTAATATCAAAAATACAATACACCTATAACCACTAATAATTATGATACATTATAATTTGAAACAAAATGAAATATTTATTTTTTGAAAGAAAGTTGCGTGCCGCTTAATTACGTGACACATATAATTATTTTTAAGATCTTTGAAAAATGTAATGTATTTTTCAAAATGACGAACATGTGAATTTATGTAGATACATACATTTCATTTTCGTTGGTTATTAAAGTTGAAAACAACTTGGATTATACAACGAGAAAGGTGAAATTTATTCCGACAGCCAATTTTCAGAGCCATAATTTAGTTGAGTCGAGCGACCGCAATAGTTTCACAAAATGTTTGCACAACAATATTCACGGCGTTATTATATCTACTTCCTTCGACTGTTTAAGCCATTGTTTCGACTATTGTGCAAGCTATTTCAAGACGAACGGCAACGATAAAAACGGATTACACGGTTCTTGTTATCTCTCGTCTACTCCTCGCTCACCAGACGAATGAAATATCAAGCTTTACTATTGTTGTAGTTTTTCCTCTTTCTTGGCCACAGATTCGGTAACGGGTAGAAAATATTTTAAAATACTCGTACTGTAATTTTACAAGGGCTCTTAAAGTGTAATTCTCGTTAATGTTTTCCTCGGCATAGATTTTTCATAAATCTTCCCTGCCCTGATCTTCCAATGTATGAAATGTCTTTCGACAGTTTTTCAGTAATAAATCAACACAACGATAACTAATGAATAATCCCTTCGATGTTTTGGTTCAAAATGACAAATATACTAGGTATGCATCTACATACCAATCCAGTGTACTCGTTTTGTCTGACTAATTACGAATTCCCCGGCAGAAATATTAAAACATTTTACTGCATCTATTTTGAAAACGCTATTTTTTTGTGCAACATTAAAGAAATAAATGATATTGTTAGTTATTTTTTGAAGAACACGATATATACGGATAATTCCAAGTAGGCGCCTATTGAATACGAATTCTCTAAAGAAATTTGCACATCACTTGATAGCTCATTAGTTTTCCTCTAGTTTAATAATAAATTTGTAGACAAATTTATGGACAGATCAATTATTGTTTTGTTATAAACATAAAAATAAAATTGTTTTGTGTTGTCATGTAGGAGAAAATAAATAATAAAAATTAATAATAAGCCCAAAAATAATTATTTCATTCGAATATAGTTTGTTCTATTAAAGTATTAGTCATATTTAATTATTACATAATCATTTATAATACCATCATAATTAAACAAATAATATAAATTGTAGTAGTATATTACAAAATGATAATTTGTTTTTAAAAGAATTTAAAATTTTTATTATATTTAATAAAATGTAATTTTAAATTTTTATGGATTAAATTTAATCTAATTGCATAAAATATATTACTCATAGAAATAAAACATACAATTGAATAGCTTACTATTTAATAAGCATTACTATATATTATAACTTTATTTTTTGTTTAATATTGTAGAGGAGTTAAAATTAATTCATTTAAATATTTTTCAAGCTATAATGCAAATAGAATAAAATACATCATTAACAAAATAATTTTAATACAAGTAAAACATGATAAAATATAGAGATAAATGTAAATTTAATATTTTTTAATGTAAATATTAAATTTGTTTTTTTAATGAAAAACGAAACATTGTAATAAATTAGATGCTGTCTAGTAATAATATTTTCGAAATAAATATTGCAGTATAAAAAGTCAAGATGGGTTGGTCGCAATAATATTGTGATATTATCACAATGAACTTTTCCGCGAATCGTTACAATTTATAACCTTATAACGAATAGCTTCCCAACTTAAGGTAAAAGAATATAATATTATAAAATATTATTATTATACTTTTAAACGAGATGACCTCAGGAGAATTTTCAAATAGCATAAAAATTTGTTTGAACAATGTTCATTTTACAATGAAGTTTCGAGGCAACAAAAAGCGTATAAATCCCACAAGGATTTTTTTGCTACTCTTCTGTAACGTTTATCACATAACAACTAACATTTAAATTGTATACAGACAGCTGAAATATATATCGTATTATATCCGACGTATGATTCATTTGACGGATCGTTTCCTGATTCACTTTTTGGTACATATTTTGTCCATTTCGCTTTTTAGTAAAAGTAAACAAAATTACCTAACCAATAATAACAATATACCAAAATTATTTGAACACAAACTTTCAACCTCTTTGTTTTGAAGTATTATCAAATGATTTTTTTTTTATATTATACCATTTTTTTTTCAATTTATAAAATGATCGGAAATTCACTAAAATCCAAATTAAATTACTTTTCAAAATTACATTTTTTGATTGGGGTGATTTAAAAGTTAATCGATTTTTTTTCTTTTGATAAAATATATAAAATGACATTTTAATCGGCTATTAAGAAAGAATTTTAGATTTTTTTTAAATAACAGTATTTTGTTTTAAATACTATAGGTCGGAAAATATTTTTATTATTATTGTAATTGATAAATTAATAAATATTTAATCATTTTAGATGCAATTACTCTAAAAAAAATTATTTTATTATCTCATAATAAATATGGACCTATGAGTTTTAAAAATGTTTATTGGTTAAAATTAATATTCATAAATTGTAATTTTAGTTAATATGTAGTTTTATTTTTAGTCATTTTGATTTTTTTTTTTTATTTAATCGATGACTTATTGACATTTATGTATTACCAACGATTTTTTAATTGCAAAAGAGAACTTGCATAGAAATTCAGTAAGTGGACAAATAATTTCTACACCTATCGACTTGGAAAACTTAAATACACCTGTATTAATGTTAAATATATTTTTTATTGCTTTTATACAACATTTAATACCTGTAGTGAAAAATCAATGTAAAAATAATTCATACATATACGGTACATGTCTGGCGCCACTGTATGGGCGTTAACTTCCTAGTTCAACGATAAAACAGAGAAATTTATATTTTGAAGTAATAAAAGTTTAATACTCGCAGTGTGTATATTTGTGTCTGGGCACGAGGTATATAATATATTATTATTTATTTTACAGCCTACTTTTTATGTCTTCGGCTATTGGTATTATATCTCGAGCTCATGATTACACAGCATCATTAAATGATTACTTGGTCAAATAATCCGCTATTTTTGCTCTTGCCCCAAAAGCAATATCAACAAAGTTTCCTCAGTCATTTTATTGATAAGCTAAAATGCGTATGGCA